ATAAAAATGTGTTGCGCTGTACGGCAGAACGAACGACAGAAAGAGCTCTCTGTGAAGTGAGCGATGCTGCGATGATGACCAGCGCTCTGGAAACGCTTCTTCAGCCGCAGCTGATGCACAGATCCACCGCAGATCTCTGCTCGCTGGAAGAGATACTCGTCTGCAGCAGCTGTTTGAGCACACACTTCAGTAGAAGATGCTTTGCGCTTTGTTGTGAAGAGGTGAAGAGAAATCGTTTCGCCGTGATAGTCGCTGAATAAAAATATAATTTGACAGATAAAGTCGTCTCCCTCGCTGCCAAGCGTCAACCTTCATCAGCGCAGGTTTTAATTGGACACGTTCAGTCAGAACGGCCAAAAACATCATTATTATTCAACAAATAAGTGATCCTGACAAATCATTTAAAAAAGCCAAGCGATGCAGCAAACACATTTGCGAGCGTGTGTTGGTTTGTTAATCATTACAGAGCCGCTGTCTCCCTCAGGATGATAGAAATACACTCGCAATCAGAGCTTTTAGCAGGAAAATGCATCTGAACTGCAGAAGAGACGTGAAATGAGTTATGAAACAGCCTCAGCTGCTCTGATTCTCTGATTGATTACCGCAGGAGGCCATCAGAGCCACACCAGACATGCTCACACAAACACTCAGAACAAGGCTTTAGAGCATCAGAGTGAATTAAATAAATAAAATTAAAATAGAATTTCATTTTGTTTGCATTACTGAAACGTTAGTCTTTTGGTTAAAGTCTCGAGTGAAAATCTGAACTCGTATCAGACAGACTTATTATAGTTATAGTTAACTAAAGCTACAACCATTTTTTTTTTTTTTTTTTTACTGAAATCAAAATAAATGTTAAATGGAATAACAAAGAAAGTAATTTTATGTCATCTAGTTTTCTAACCAACATTACTAATTTTCATTTAGTTTAACTTGATTTACTAAAAATAAAAATAAAAATAAAAAAACTATATAGACATTTAAAAACAATAATAGCTCATTATGACAAAAACAAACAAAATAATGAATTACTAAAACTTTAACTACAATTAATCTGTGACCCTGGACCACAAAACCAGTCATAAGGATATATTTTTAATTGAGCTTATTTGAATAAATAAGCTTTCCATTGATGTATGGTTTGTTAGGATCGGACAATATTAGAAAATCTGGAATCTGAGCGTGCAAAAAAAATCTAAATATTGAGAAAATCATCTTTAAAGTTGTCCAAATGAAGTTCTTAGCAATGCATATTACTAATCAAACATTAAGGTTTGATATATTTACGGTAGGAAATTTACTAAATATCTTCATGGAACATGATCTTTACTTAATATCCTAATGATTTTTGGCATAAAAGAGAAATGTATAATTGTGACCCATACAATGTATTGCGACTCAACACTGCTTTTGTGCTGCAGGGTCACAGATGAAAAATGCAAATATAAAAATAAGTCAGTAAAACCCTAACTAATAAATATCACTTTTAGTCTTTGGCTCACATTAGTGAAACAGACGCGTGTTGTTGTCAGTATTGTGTAGCGTGTGTTAGCGGCGTGCTCTGACAGACAGTTTGGCGTTCAGCTGCGCTCTGAAGAAGCGTTTCTCGCACCGGAGCCGCTCCGAGCAGCACAATCACAATGACTCTTTAATCCAGTGTCTCTGTCTCCTCTCTCTGTTCCTCCGGACGCTCTCTCGCCGCAGGTCACCATCTCAGTGGACGGCATTCTGACCACCACCGGATACACGCAGGAGGACTACACCATGCTGGGCTCCGACGACTTCTTCTACATCGGAGGAAGCCCGAACACGGCCGACCTGCCCGGATCTCCCGTCAGCAACAACTTCATGGGCTGCCTGAAAGACGTGAGTCTGACGAGCGCTAACGAGCCCTGCAGCTCCACACAATCAGCTGTTCACTTACAAATGTGCTCGTAAATCTCTCATTGTCACCAAATATTGCATTCAGTCTGTTTTGTAGTGCTGCCCCGTAATATTCGACTAACCGCTAGTCGACCAGAAGAGGCTTGGTCCTCCAAAATTTGATCTGTCGCTTAGTCGCAGAAAAAAATAAAAATAAAATAAAAATCCACAGGCGGAGACTCACAGATCGTTAACGGCTGGTCTACGGTGCGCTCACTTGCTCTTAAAATACTCCATCATTTTTGGTCTTACAGATAACAGTAATACATCTTTCGAATCTGTAAAGACTCTGTTTATTTGTGTGCACTCACGATAACAATAAAACATGGCACTTGTGTAAAATAATGAAAGCAGTCAGGATGTGCTTTCTGCCGTCTCGGTCTCTGTGAACTTGAGCGAGAAACTCCGAAACTCTGTGTATACTTGCCGTACAGACATGACGAACAGATCTATAGAGAGTGAAGTGTCCACTTTCAAATAAACCAATTGAACTGGAAGACACATGTTCTCAGATTATGTGTGAAACATGCATGCAGGCACATCACTACTGCGGAGATGAGACTTCATCTCTTAAACTGAAAACACAGAAAGCACTAGTGTATCAGTGAATTATTCACATGTTATTAATGCAGTCTTCTTTCTGTTTTCCCCTGACGCATTCATAACCATTACTTCTGACGGTGCGCCGTGGCAAGCTTTATGCGTGCGCATGAGCGCTTATTAGGCTATGCAATTAAAGACTCATTATTATGATTTAAATGGTTTATTAATAAACATGCGATTAGTCGACTAATGCATCAAATGAACGACTACTAGTCGAGCAGAAAAATCTTTAGTCGAGGGCAGCCCTACTGTTAGGACAGGTTTTGTGCTTCTTTTAGGATGATCATAGATTTCATTGATCTGAACCTGTGCACCTCAGGGTTTCATTGGAAACAAGCATTATTTCTGGTTAATTTTGGCAATATTAACTAAAAAACAATCAGTCAGTTCCAGAAAGAAAGACAAAGCCTGTGCTAACTGGAAGAAAACAGGCTGATAAAAAGATGGAATCCAAGAGTTGGTGATAATATAGCATAATCAGAGATTTATAAGCAGGAACACCACAGGTTTAACAAGGTGGGAGAAAATCCCCCAAAATGATCAACGTTTTTTGGTAAGCTGTTAGTTTGAGTCCAATCCGATAACGGTAACTATTACAGAAAATCCTCCGGGTTTAAATGAGTGAAACACAATCTGAGGGTCAGAGGTGAAGCGCATCATCTCTGTTTGTGTGAGCAGATGTAACGACGAGTGCTCAGCCAATGGTGTGAGTTTGGGGGCGGAGCTAACTGTTTGAGTGACGGCAGGTGGGCGGGGTGTATTGCTGTTATCACTGTAAATATAGTTTTGCTGCTTGTACAACTAAATTAAAATGAGCTAAAGCAACCGCTGAACATGTTGTCACTACTTCAGTTTATAATATGCAAAATTATGTAAATATGTAAAATTCACAAAAATCCATTAGTGTAAATCATGTTTGTTAGATTGACTGAAACTGGGCAGTGGATTTCTAGCGCAGCATAACATTGAATTAATTTCACACATTGAAATGAAGTGTTTTTGGAGTAAAGAGAAAGACCTGCTGGTGTTTAATGTTTGACATTTAAAAAAGCGTTCATGTAGAAGTTTCTGTGGTTCCCATGAATTCTGTATAGTTATTAATTCTGTATAGTTATTAATGTCACTCACTCTTTTAAGGTTAGTCAATAGTGTACAGTATTAACAACGATTAGCCTCATTTCTTTTAGTGTGTCATAGTTGTTCCTTTTTCACAGTTTTTACTCAATACATGCGATGAAATCTACCTAAACTAATTGAGAGCAAATCATTTTTTTCATTGAATGCCAAATAGCAGATTTAATTTGATTAGACTGTTGGAATATCATTAGTGTCCCATGGAGCAAAGACCCATGTGAATATAAATGATATTTATGAGTGTTAAATGCAGCAATTAGACTAATATTTAATGTTATTTCTTCTGTCATTTATTTATTTCCCATTGAGGTTTATTAATTAACGTTTATTATCAATTACATAGGATAGAAAAACTTAAAGGGGTAATTTCCCTGCTGACAATACTGCTAGAAATGTTTTATTTATGTGCTATATAAACTTGCTCTAGGGGCAATTATGTAGATATGGGGCCGGTTGCATAAACCTAGTCTTAAAAAGTTAGTCATCTAATCTATTCATCTAAGACTTTTTGAATTCAGTTATGAAAAGGTAGATTGGTCGTATTTGTATTGAAAAGGTAAGACTGATTACCCCATTGGTAACTGCTTGTTGGTCAAACTACTTCTTTAGACACAGTCTTAACATGGTGGCAACTCTTTATGCAACTGGCGTCTACATGATATCTATTGTATTATTTACTCAGATGTTTCTAAATAACATACGCTTTAAAAGCATGCTTTAACTAGGTGCTATGTAAAGTAAAATCAAAGTATTGCCAAGTAAGCTTTGACTAAATAAAAATGACTCAAACTTTTACTGGCCAGGCTAAAGTTATTTATTTTCTTTGTTAAATTTGCTTAACTTAGGCAAGTAGATTTTACTTAATTCTATATGGGAAATTATATGTAATATTTACTTAATTTCTTTATGAATGTGAAGTTCAATAGCAAGTGTATTGTACAGAGCAGTAGCAGTAAAATTAGCTTAAAATGTAAATTATTTTCTTGTTTAGTATTTTTGTCTTGTTTCCTTGTATAAATATCTAAACATTCTTGAATCAGCACGCATTTACTTGACAAGTAAAATGATTTAAGACTTATGTCTTGTTTTCTGAAAAACAAAAAATCCAAATTTTGTAAAGCAAGTAAAAAAAATCTGCCAATGGGATAAGAAAAACAATCCTGTTTAGCCTTTGAATTAAGATTATTTTTACTTGTTTTAAGCAAAAACAAACTCAATTTGGATAATATTTTCAGAGACCAAGACAATAATATCTTAAGTCATTTTACTTGTCAAGGAAATGCATCCTGATTCAAGAACGTTTAGTTATGTAGTTAGTTTACACGCTTAAAAATAAAGGTGCTTCACGATGCCACAGAAGAACCTTTTTGTCTAAATGGTTCCATAAAGAAGCTTTAACATCTGAAGAACCTTTCTGTTTCACTAAAGCTTCTTTGTGGCGAAATAAGGTTCTTCAGATTATAAAAAGGTAAGAAAGAGATGGTTCTATAAAGAACCTTTGACTGAATGCTTCTTTGTGGAACCAAAAATGGTTCTTCTATGGCATTTGCCACCACTGTACATTGCAGACAGCACAATAAATGACTTAACAATAAGCACAAAAACAATATTAATCCATAAACAACGTACACCATGTTGTTAAAAAACCTAACAGCTGTTGGAATGTTCTGTAGAACACCGAGGCATTACTGATCTTCCACTGAATGAACTCTTAAATCCGTTTAGTGGTCCTTCGTAATACACAATCCTTTTCAATGTTGCCCTTCCACAATAACCTCGAGAGAAATCGGGAATAAAACCAATAATTGAACCAACAATCTTTCTGATCGTTTTATTAATCCTGTTTTTATCCTCCACAGTGAAGAGATATACGTATACTATAAAACAAGGTATTATTTCAGCGTGTGTTGTTTAATGCACTCCTGCAGGTGGTGTACAAGAACAACGACTTCAAGCTGGAGCTGTCTCGTCTGGCCATCGAGAGGGACCCTAAGATCAGTGTGCACGGGGACCTGGTGTTCCGCTGCGAGGACGTTGCGGCCCTGGACCCCGTGACCTTCGAGACGGCCGAGTCCTACATCTCCCTCCCGCGCTGGGACACCAAGAAGACCAGCTCCATCTCCTTCGACTTCCGCACCACGGAGCCCAGCGGCCTGCTGCTGTTCAGCCACGGCAAGCCTCAGAGCAGCAGAGAGCAGCGGCCTGGCCGCGAGATGAAGACCGACTACTTCGCCATGGAGCTGCTCGACGGCTTTCTCTACCTGCTGATGGACATGGGCTCCGGCAGCATCAAGCTCAAGACCAGCAACAAGAAGGTGAACGACGGAGAGTGGTGCCACGTGGACTTCCAGAGAGAGGGACGGAGAGGTGAGGTCTGTGCATGTGAAGACAGCCTGGCCTGCGCTCCCCAAAACCATCGCAGACCATTGAAACCAATGAGGGCTTACGATGCTTTTGAGAAACGCAGCCCTGATCCGCTCCTGATTGGACCAGAAGCGTTGCCAACTAAACAGTCTAAAAATCTCCCTGCAGCTTTCCGCCAAAATAAACACTCGAGGGTTTACCCTTAAAAGTCAATCATTTAGGATATATTAGTATTGTGCCATTTTGTGTTAAATATAAGTATTGTGATTTTCAAATAAGTGACCCTGGAGTCTTAAGTGTCAATTTTTCAAAATAAATAAGCACTAGATACCAAATCATGCAGCTCTACACTGTAAACAATTATTAAAAAAACAAACATATAATATAAAATCTAAATAAAACACTTACAGAAACATTAAATATTTTATCTGTTTTCCTGCAAGTCATCAGTGTTAATTAGAGAAGTGTATAAATAACAGTTTTTCATCAAACGTTTTACTGCCATCGTCCATAAATAAATAATAGTTACTGCTTTTGTTGTTTTTCACCCATCTAACCTTGTATTCTAATAAATAAGGTTTTGACACCAATGTTTTAGATACTAACATAATTTCATAATTCTCAATTCCAGTTTTAAAACCACAGTAACATCTACCACCCTAATATAAAGTTCAGCCTATGCCTATCAAGACAAGTAAACATTCAGTAATAAACTAAGCGCAAATACACAAATCACAAGCACTAGCACAAGTAAATACAACAGAGCAAAGATACACATGAAATAACGAGTGCATTTATTTTCATTAATACATTTGGCAGACGCTTGTCCAAAGCGACTCGCATTGTATTGAATGTTTGTATGAGTTCATGCATTCCCTGGGAATCGAACCCATTACCTCAGCGTCGCTAACGCCACGCTCTATTGTTTGAGCTACAGAAATACTGTTACCATGCACATGTGTTGAAACATCAACTTCAGTTTAATCGTTCATCTCGAACGGGTTTGGAATATGGCTGCTGTAGAGCATTCACTCCAGCACTTATCGCTGCTAAAGCGCGGCCAACGAGACGCTGTTAAACCCCATCCACGCTGCCAAAAGCTGCTCCGTTTGCTGTGATGGGCTAATCGAGTGTAAGGCTAGAGGAGGTGGGCGTGTGTCCTGTGGGGAAGAAAGTCCAGCAGTTCTGTAATTGCAGTTTAATAGACAATTAAGAGTAAGTCATAAATCTCTGCGATCTGCCGAGAGAGCAGCGCTCATGCTGAAATATAGACACACATCGCTCATGCACACTTCTGGATAAAGAACGATCAAGCGTAGTCAGGCAGGCATCTAAAATGATTGGGTACCCACAGACACAACTGATAGATCTGTATAACCGTGCTGTAACGAGAAAAGCAGCTTTTGTTGCGGACCCCTCTCATCCTTTGCATTACTTCTTTCAGCATCAGGTTGTCAGTTCAGAACTCCTTTGGCCAGAAGGAAGGCTTGTAGTAATGCCATTTATATTCTAAATAAGGCCAAGCAGTTTGTCAGGATCTTGTGTCTTAGGTTTGTCATTATTTATTCTAGAGGAGTTTTTGTGGATTAACTGTGGTTTGGTTGTTGCGTGTGCTTTTTTGTATTGTGTATATGTGAGACTTTTACCTAAGACAAAATTCTTTCAATAGCTATGTTTCCATCCAAAGATTCGAATTAAATTTATGCGCAAAACTGGAATAAAGCACCGTTTCCATCCAACAAGTCCAAGAGAACAACATCGTTACTTCCTGATAAACTGGCACTGTATATCACCAAGAAAACTAGGAGAAGCCACTGAATATAATAATTATGATGAATGACTTGTTCCTCAGAGCGAGCCGACGAAACACAATAAATGCGGTCTTTGCTTTCAGAGGTGGAGGTAACACTTTATCTTGATGTAGTTGCAAATTAATGAGAATTAGTTGACATGTAGTTACTGATAGTTAGTAGAATGTCTAAAGTGGACTATCGAAATAACGTGTAACCGAGGTGGATGCTGCTGTTTGGGAACGCAGTCGTGTAAGACAATCATACAGAAATACTTTGACGACAGACTTTACTCAGGTATTTCAGAACGACCATAACAACATATAGATGCAGTGAATGAGATCGGTCCACTGCTAGTCAGGTTATCTCGTCTCATGGCGCACGCAAACTCACATGACTTTTTCGATGCGCATGGAGGAATTTATTCAGTAAATGTGTTTCCATCGTAGTTTATGCACATTTTTTCTTATCGGATAAAAGGTTTATCCTACTCAATTGTGCGCATACAGAAATTTAGAATTTATGCGCATCTTGGCGTTTCCATCCAGTGTTTTTTTAATGCGATATTCCAAAATTCGCACACAAATAGATGGATGGATGGAAACATAGCTACTGGTTGATAGATAATGAAGTTGTTTGACTGTTGAATCTTCTCGTCAGGCTCCATCTCCGTCAACAGCCGCTCCATTCCCTTCAGCTCTAACGAGGGCAGTGAGATCCTGGACCTGGACAGTGACATGTATCTGGGTGGTTTGCCGGAGAGCGGTCAGGGCCTGATCCTGCCGCCCGAGGTCTGGACCGCGCTGCTCAACTACGGCTACGTGGGCTGCGTCCGCGACCTCTTCATCGACGGCAAGAGTCGAGACGTGCGGCGTCTGGCGGAGATCCAGAGCGTGCCGGGCGTCAGCAGCTTCTGCACGCGCGAGCTCCAGAAGAGGTGCAGCAGCGCCCCCTGCGCCAACGGAGGACAGTGCAAGGAGGGCTGGAACCGCTACATCTGCGACTGCACCGGCACCGGATTCCTGGGAGGCAACTGTGAGATCGGTGGGTAAAACCAGAGAACACAGCTACTAATGAAGCAAACAGTGCTTGATGTTTCCAGCTAGATCTAACTGCAGTACTAATAAAATCATCAAAAGTAAAACAACACTGCGGACTCTGCACTGTATTAAATATAAATGTATTCTTCACCCAAAAATTAAAATGAGATGGAAATGTGCTCACCCTCAGATCATCCTAGATCAGGATGAGTTTGTTTCTTCATCAGGTTTGGAGAAATGTAGCACTGCATCAGTGTCTCAGCAATGGATGCTCTGCAGTGAATGGGTGCCGTCAGAATGAGAGCTGATAAAAACATCACAATAATCCACAGCACTCCAGTCCTTCAGTGAACATCTGGAGAAGACAAAAGCTGAAACACATCCAGCATTAAGACGTTTTTAACTAAAATACATTGCGTCTATAATCCATAATAACGCTTCCTCCAGTGAGTCAGTGTTCTGGTGTGAATCAGGAGAGAAATCTGCACAGATCAAGCAGCGTTTAAACAGCTCTAAACAAATATTATAAGCGTCTTAATGCTGGATGTGTTTCAGCTTTTGTCTTCTCCAGATGTTCACTGATGGACTGGAGTGCTGTGGATTATTGTGATGTTTTTATCAGCTGTTTGGACTCTCATTCTGACGGCTGCTCTCTCAGTAGATTTATGACATTTCTCCAAATCTGTTCCAATGAACAAACTCATCTACATTTAAATTTTTATGTTAACAATTTACATCCGCTTAAGACGTAACCGACCATGTTACTCGCCAAGAATCGCATTTTGACAATTATGTGTTTATATGTGGATTCAAGTGCAAGAAGAAGCGAAAGAGAACTCCGTTCAGCATTCACGCGAGGTTTGAATGAGGCGGCTTTACGTGTGTGTGAGCATGTATGGAGGTCTGTCTTCTTGCAATTAAATGGTTCATAAATGTTTAAACTGGCAAGACTTAAAAGACATGAAACGCATTCGGTCAGCTGTGCAGATCTGACAGGATAATATGTAAATCTCGTGTTATATTGCGTTGGAGTCGCATTCTGTAGCTTCTTTCAGTGGTTATATTTAGCACTAGCTTGAGCCCATCCGTGACGCTTTTATCAGGCGCACACAGAGCTGCGAAGCACCGCCGTTCGCGCTTCATTTCTTTGCATTCGGCTGGCTGTGGCATCCTGATTCATGCTGGCGGGAAAGAGCCGATGTCACGAGCCGGGAGAAGCACTGGAGCAGCGATGCTCACCACAACCATCTGTGCCGCCTTTAACGACACCAGCTGCTCCGTCTCAGGCCCACGCCTCTGACAGCAGCATTGCAGCTCTGAATCCACAGATTGTCTGAGTGTTTCGCTGACATTGAGCTCAAGGGCCTTCGACGCAGAATAGTTCCTCTCTCCGTGGTTTTGATTCATAGTGTTCGCTGTCAGAGCTCGAGCAGGTGGGTAATTAGGGCTGATTTGGATTCGGCTGCGTCTGCCGACTGTTTAAAAGATGCCCGTTTGTTTTATTAAACATATTTATTTCCATCTTTTTTAACAGCCAGATGTTGTGCTGTGAAGTAAAGCTGTTTATTCACCGTGTGTCATGTTGCTGGTCTCTGAAGGCCGGGTAGAAGCGGCTGCAGAGCAGTGCTTTACTGACACCAAGCGTCACTGGACAGAACTACACTAACGATCATAGCGACGCACAGATGTGCTCAGTGTGTGTTTGTACTGTAGGAAGATCTCGTTATTTGTCAGACGTGTCAGTGGTGCATTTGATGCCTTTCAACATACTGATCACGAAACTGCATTCTGCGGTAATAATACATATTTAGGTAACACTCTGTAATGACGTTCAGTTGTAAGTCATTTATAAGTTCATCATCTAATCACTTGTAAATGATTATTTATAACTTAACCTACAAAACAGATAAAAATATGATCATATCACTTACTAATCATTTATGAACACATAGTCATGTTTTGTAAATGATTAGTTCATCATTAACTTATAAGTGACTTACAACTGAACGTTATTATAAAGTGTTACCAATATTTATATATTGTTTATAATAGGTATATTTATAATTACTAACAGATGTGTATATATAATGTTATATAAATTGAATGTGATTACATGTGTGTGATTAGTAAACATAGTGTAGAAACACACACATCTCAAAAATCCAGTTAGTGGAAACCTTTTTGACATTAGCTGCCCTACTTATTCGTTTGTTTGTTTATAATAGTTGTGCTGTATGAAGGCTAGTGTGATGTAGACGTGTGAGTCATTATCTCTGTGAAGCACCACCTGTTTCAAAGACCTCAGAGAACCACAATCCAGGGTTTATCATGTGATTATAGTGTGTTTATATCATGTGTTTATCACGTGTTTCTATTGTTTGTTAAAGTGTGTTTATATCATGTGTTTATGGTGTGATGTGTGTGTTTGTCATGTGTTTATTTTCTGTGTTTATATCATGTGTTTATGGTGTGATGTGTGTGTTTGTTGTGTGTTTATATCATGTGTTTATGGTGTGATGTGTGTGTTTGTTGTGTGTTTATATCATGTGTTTATGGTATGATGTGTGTGTTTGTCATGTGTTTATTTTCTGTGTTTATATCATGTGTTTATGGTGTGATGTGTGTGTTTGTCATATGTTTATTTTCTGTGTTTATATCATGTGTTTATGGTGTGATGTGTGTGTTTGTTGTGTGTTTATATCATGTGTTTATGGTATGATGTGTGTGTTTGTCATGTGTTTATTTTCTGTGTTTATATCATGTATTTATGGTGTGATGTGTGTGTTTGTTGTGTGTTTATATCATGTGTTTATGGTATGATGTGTGTGTTTGTCATGTGTTTATTTTCTGTGTTTATATCATGTGTTTATGGTGTGTTTACGGTGTGTTTAACACGTTTATTGTTTCTATTGTTTGTTAAAGTGTGTTTATATCATGTGTTTATGGTGTGATGTGTGTGTTTGTCATGTTTATAGTTCCTATTGTGTTTATATGGTGTGTGTGTGTGTGTATGTGTGTTTGCGCTTTGTTTATCTTGTGTGTGTTTACGGTGTGTGTGTTTGCGCTGTGTTTACGCTGTGTGTGTGTGTGTGTGTGTTTGTGCTGTCTGTGTGTGTGTGTTTACGTGTGTGTGTGTGTGTTTGCGATGTGTTTACGGTGTGTTTACGGTGGGTGGGTGTGTGTGTGTGTGTGTTTGCGCTTTTTTATCTCATTTGTGTTTACGGTGTCTAGCAGTCCACTCCCAGCATGCCTCTGGGGAGGAGGTGGGCAGAATACACTGGTGCAACACCGGGATGCGAAGCAGTTCCTCCCTATGAGAGAGAGAGAGAGACAGAATGAGATAAAGACAGTGTACGTTTGTATGAGAGAGACTGTGTGTGTTTGCGCTGTGTTTACGCTGTGTGTGTGTGTGTGTGTTTGTGCTGTCTGTGTGTGTGTGTTTACGTGTGTGTGTTGAGCTACGACGGCAGCATGTATCTGAAGATCATCATGCCCAGCACACTGCACACGGAGGCCGAGGATGTGGCGCTGCGCTTCATGTCTCAGCGGGCGTACGGGCTGCTCGTGGCCACCACCTCCAAAGAGTCGGCCGACACGCTGCGGCTGGAGCTGGACGGAGGACGGGTCAAACTCACGGTCAACCTCGGTAACTACCCGTCTGTCTCTGTCTGACCTCTCCTCCCCTGAACCATCTCAAGATCTCGCCCAGTGTCTGCCCTCCGCCAGCCACCCGGCCTGTAAACCACACCGTCCTCCAGCAGAGGGCAGAACAACCCTTTCACTGTATCAGATCTCTGTTATTAGTGACTGAAATCTGCTTCCATTTGAGTCTCAGTGTAAGCACTGTTTTCTTAGTAACAAATCCTTAGAACAAGACACATTTACTAGTAGAATTGTGCAAGATATTTATAAAATGTATAAAAGTTAAACTTATTGGTAACACTTTACTTAAAGCCTTTATTTATAATGCATTATAAAGGGTTATTAAAGGCTATAATGCATTATAATTATTCATAATGTGTGTTGTAATACATATTGTCATAAATACTTATAACCAAATTTAAAATGCATAGTGTAACAAAGAATTGATATGTGTTATAATGTATTAACTGTGGTTACAATTATTCATGAGATTGTACAATGCATTATAAGGTCCATTACAAGGCATAATTAATGCATTAAAACTACTTTCATAATGCATTATACATAAAGGCTTTAAGTATAGTGTTACCAACTTATTTTATTTCTCATTTTAGTTTGACTATATAAATAAAAATGATATAGACCTAATAAAAATGACTAGAACTTTAACATGTAAAATATAAAGAAACAACAACATATGAATAAACATTCTAATAGAATCTTTTAGCTCACTATATGTGTGTTTTGGTCACATCAAATTAATTCATATTGTATTTAAGTCAGTTAAACTGCAGAGCAGTGTAAAACTGAAGCATGTCACAGTAAAGCCTTCATGTTCAAAACAGCGACGCTTTCAGGGTTTGGTGTTCGTCTGCTGCTCCAGTGAGCGTGTCTGCTTTGAAGGGTGTTTTTCTGTGAATCCAGACTGATTCCTGCAGAGTTTAGTGTAGTTCTGGTCTGGTCCGGGTCTGGTTCTGGCGGAGAGGCAAACACAGGGCAGCGGTGCATCCTGGGAAAGGACGTGGTGGGAGAGAAAGCCTCTCGGGAGACCTCCATCCATCTGTCTCTCTCTCTGTCAGTCACCTGGAGCTTTCCAGAGGAACCTCGAGTCCCTTCAATGTGGTGTCTGTCTGCGGCCTGAGCGAACAGCCAGAGACCGGCTCACGCTCCGCTCTGCTAATGCACCACCACTCACATAATCAGGCCTGATAAGAGCTGTCGCATGAAAATCCCCATCCATCTGGATCACACAGTTTTAACAGCAGCAAACTAATAAACATATGCATAACTCTCAGTCATACAGAAATGAACCAGATCTTTGTACTCAAAAAATCATGGCATAGTTTATTATTTACTATTTGCATCTGTTCGATTTTATTTAAATAATCATATTTTTAGATGCATTTATTGAAATTGCTCAGAATCAGCATACATTGTTTTAAACAAAGAATTAAATGTATGACCATGGTTAGAATATGGCTAATGTTATTTTAGTATCACTGGAATCAGTTTTTGTATACTTTCTATGTTCATTTTAGTTCTATAAAATAAAATAAAAATTTAAATAAAAGTTTTTTAATGTTTTATTTCAGTTATTGTTTATTTATTTCTAGTAACAAAAATATTTTTAGTTTGAGTTAACTGTAATAACCCTGATATATATAATACATAGTAAATGGTGCCAGATAAACAAATAAAATTATTTTTTAGTATTTTTGAGACATTATTATTATTATAATGAACTATAATAACCTTGCTGTGGAACAAACAGTATTCAGTTAGTTAATGTATGAGATTGAAACAAACTGGATTTATTGATTATAAATACATATTTAATAGTGTATTGTGCGTAATATATAATTGTTACTGTGTGTTTAAAACACATTCAGTTTATTAGCGCTCTTACAGAAATCTGACCGGTTTCATTTCTGCACGATGCATCAGTTTATGTTTAAACTGTGTGTCCAGACAGTAGGATGTTTTTCATCTGCATTTCAAAAGCATAAATCTGAGACTGACTGCAGGCGTGTTGCTTGATCCGGCAGAGAAGCGTCAGGTCTGGAGTGAGTGTGTTTCGAGTCTAGACGGTCTCTGGCTGTTTGTGATCACTATTCTGTAGCGGTTGACACATTGAGACGCTCCTCAGCCTGAGCCGCAGATGCAGCACACACACACACACACACACACACACTCAGTGTAAATCTCAGCGCTGTGTTCAGTGTCACACAGTAGATGTGTTTCTGGCTGAGGAGTGCAGTGAAACCCCTTCCCACAATTCACAGCGGCAGATGCAGACCGCAGCGCTCCACGCTCATCTTCCTCACTCATGCTTATGGAGAAACAGCACTGTACTTCATCACACTAATCTCCTGACTGCTGACCAAATACATCATTACTGAGCACTGAGCGATTGAACTGTGAGCAGCAGGAGATGCAGCGATCAGTCGAACAGTTCAGGACCGCTTTTGATAACACTTTACAATGAGGTTCCATTAGTTAACATGAACTATCAGTGACACATACTTCTGAAGCACTTATTAACCTCACTTCATGTTGAGTTAACATCTACTAATAGATTATTAAAAACAAAAGTTGTATTTGTGAATGTTATTGACCTCTTAAGCCTGAAATATCACTTAATAATCTGAAAAAGTGAAAGTTTATTAAACATTTAAAGAAATATTCAATGAAAATAGGCTTTTATTGTGCTTTTATGGCTCATATAGTCTGATATAGTGAGAGTAGGAAAACAGCTCAATTTTATGACTCAAACTGAGCAAAACTATATTATATTAAAATAATTTATATGATGAAATTCTGATGCTTGTACACTCTTAAAAATAAAGATTCTTAATTTAAGAACTGTTCACTGAAAGGTTCTCTGTGGAACCAACAATTGTTCTTCTATGGCTTCACTGCAAAAACAGCTTTTTGGAGCCTTTATTTTTAAGAGTGTGATGTAAATCAGTGATATAATGCAGTGATTGAGAGCTGAAGAAATAAAGGCTCCTCAGAAGATGTGAGATGTTCTGGAGGCTTGTGAAGATCATTCCTCCGCTGAGGAACAGTGAAAGTAAAGCTTCTGGAAACAAACGCTCCTCAAAAGATCCTGAGGATCAGATTTGAGACTCTAAAACATGATTGATGGAGAATCAAGTAAAGCTGAGCTGCTTCAGTGCAGTAAGTGTTCATCTGGAGATATTACTGACGTTATTCTGATGCTTACTTGATCAAAACCAGTCAAAATTTGACACGAGAAGCGTTTCTACAATTACACTTTTACTGGATAAAACACTGTAAACTCTCAATCAGAGACAGCAGACATGCAGGAGATCGAGTGTGAAACAGCAGAGTTTGATCATGTTGATCATTTAGAGGAAGTTTCCACATTAAATCTGATTCAGTAGATGTATACAACTGAGCTAAAAGTTTGTTTACTTTGTAAAGCTTTGTTAACTGATGGGTGGTTATTGTAAAGTGTTGGTCAGTATTGCGCAGTCTCAGTCAGACGGTCTGATCCGGCTCGGACCGGTCTAGACGAGCGGAGCGCCTGCGGTTACTAACACGCATGTGAAGGGAGCGGGTGCCGCTGACTCAAGCGTGTCCCCGGATGGTGGCCCTGATCTTCAGATGTCTGCAGAATCAACTTTGAAGGATGTGAAATGTTTTCTCTCTCTCTCTCTTTCCTTTAATTTGATCTCACCATCTCACTCTCTCTCCCACACCCTCTCTCTCACACACACACACACGCACACACACACACACGCACACACACACACACGCACACACACACACACGCACACACACACACACGCACACACACACACACGCACACACACACACACGCACACACACACACACGCACACACACACACACGCACACACACACACACGCACACACACACACACGCACACACACACACACGCACACACACACACACGCACACACACACACACGCACACACACACACACGCACACACACACACACGCACACACACACACACGCACACACACACACACGCACACACACACACACGCACACACACACACACGCACACACACACACACGCACACACACACACACGCACACACACACACACGCACACACACACACACGCACACACACACACACGCACACACACACACACGCACACACACACACACGCACACACACACACACGCACACACACACACACGCACACACACACACACGCACACACACACACACGCACACACACACACACGCACACACACACACACGCACACACACACACACGCACACACACACACACGCTCTCTCTCACACACACACTCTCAGACAGGTGTTAAATAAGTGTGTTGTTTCATGTTGTGTTTTGACACTGAAGGTAAGTGTGTTGCTGTGACTGGAGGAGATCTCTGAGCGTGTGTTTATGAATGAATGACACTCATCAATCCATAAACACACTCACACACACACACACACACACACACACACACACACACACACACACACACACACACACACACACACACACACACACACACACACATAGACACACACACACACACACACACACACACACACACACACACACACACACACACACACACACACACACACACACACACACACACACAGAGACATAAACACACACACACACACACACAGATATAGACACACACACACACACACACACACACACTCACACTCACACACTCACACACACATCCCGACGTGAATCGCTTATAACTGCAGGATGGATTTGATGTTCTAATCCATTTCAGAATGAGACTTTCATCTACATTCATCTCAGTCTCACAATGAAATCAACCTGACAAAGCTTTTCATCTTCCCTCCTGGAAATTAATTTTATTTTGTCCCTCCAAATCATTTCTCATTTAATATTGAGTCACGCTTTGTGTTGTCAGTTTACAGCAAGACCAGTGACAGGAAAATGGGTTCATTTATTAATTAATATGTATAAAATTATTATTATTGTTATTATTGATATTATTAGTTT